ATGAGCAGGCGAGCTGCAGTTGCTTGCTGCAGTCAGAAGGAATTGCTATTTATTTATTTGTATCCAGTTAGATTGGTGTATAAAACCCTCGGTGTAAAGAAGAAGAAAAACAATCAATCAAGGGGGAATAATGCACCTTGTCAAATACAAAGTTGAGATCTAAGCAGGTTTTTCTTTTCATAACTTGACCAAATGCACTCTTGTTTTTGCATGTTTCGTGTACCAAAGATGAAGAGTCGTCAAAGTGGGCCATTTTCCTTCTTTTTTTTATCCATATGCAACCCTTGACTGTACAAGTTCAGAAAATAAATATTAATTGATTTTTTTTGTTTTTATTTACCAATAATGAGAGCCCTGGGAAATGTGTTAGTTGAGTGAATGGTTTGAATGAATATACCGAAAACAAAGCCTCGCTTCAAAAGCTCTCCTTCGTTAAACTCGTCGACAGCTGTGTTTGTTTTACGGAGCGAACAACTCATGCAAATTCACTTTACGGGTAAATGTATTTTGTTATTGTTTTACAAGAGCATCCGCTTTTACATCCCGCGCACTTCCTGTCTTTTATCATTTCCAATTGGATGACTTAAGTTCGTTTTGTGTTCATGTATAAAATATTCCCCCCCCTTGAAATGATTCCACTGTGAGCGTGAGCAAAATGTTTCTCTGAACCCTGATCTTTTCTTGTAAACGTTCTGGAACGGGCAACGAGGAACTGCGGCTTTAATCCAATCATTGTTCTGGGAATCGTAACCAAAGTGTCTACACACAACTCGAAATTTGCTCTCTCTCTCTCTCCCCCTCTCTTTCTTTTTCTCTCTTTCTCTCTCTCCCTCTATATATATATATATATATATATAGTTTTTTTTTCCTTCTTCTCCAGAATTGTCGGAATTTTCTTGGGGCACGATGACATTAATTTGAAACGTCCACTGGCAGGATTAGGACACTAAAGCTAATGGTACGGAAGTCATATTCCAGGGCATGAGATTCGAGGTATCCTTCCTTTCACATGAAGAAAAAAGATGAGAGTTCATTTGAGCCAGTTAGTTAGAGTAAAGCTTATTCTTCATGTCCGTCATGAGATGTATATTTATAACCCGGAATCAGGTCAAAAGGGAGCTTCAAGTTAAACACACCGCAGCTCTCACTACCGTGCGCTATTTGCTTTGGTTAAACTCCAATCGCGACGAACCGGCTGGACGGCGGAGTCCAATAAATACAAATGTTTTGTTGAGCGAGTCAGGCAATTTTCCATTCAGGCCGCGGCGGAGCATAAAGCAGACGCGCGAGGAAGGCCACTCGTGTGAGTCACGTGACGTGAGTGGCGGCGGCAAGGGGAGTCGCTCCCATCAACATGATGAGCTTTGATATACAGTACCTATGATTCACAACGCACGCGTAAGACTTTCCGTTGCGTCATACTTTCCGTGGAAAGATGCTGAAGGTAAAAAAAAAAGTGCCTCGAAGTTGGGTGCAAAATGAGTTCTGCGCGAAGGAAACCACTTAAAAATATCCAAAGCAAAGGCGTTACATTGATGAAATTCAAGACAAAGAACAAATAAGCTTTCGCCAGCGAGTTAGAGTGCCTTTAATTTGTAATTAATTACCGCAAGGACAAACTGGACGACATCAATTCTCGCAGGCGGTGCCACAAATCTATTTAGCAGCAAGGCGGCTCCAACCCGCCAATCGCTCTCATTGTCTCTCTCTATTGAACACCAAAAATAAGCGTCGCGATCCGGGCAAACACGGAGTGCGTGCTATCGATGCCGCATGGCTGATCTGTGGATCTGTATACGAAATTTGCTCTTCTTGGACCCGCTTGGAAACTGTTAGCCCGCTTCAGTGGAAATCAGTGAACAGACGAGCTAAGTGCTATTCCCTCCGATAAATCTCTCCCACCCTCCGCTCTGTTGGCGGGCACACTCTCAACCTTGAAACTTTTCCCGCTGACCACCCAGCTTGACTCACGCTTCATTCTCGACGGCTGGGAAGGAGGAGACATGCAAGCGGGTTGTGAGAAATGTTTGCATGACAATCCCTCACTTTTTTTGGGGGGGGGGAACAATAGAAATGAGAATTAAAACTACTAGACTGGACGTTTTAAGATGTCTTTGCTTTTTGTACGGCATTGGCGCTTCGACAAAAACAATCTTAGTCATCATTGAGTCCCTTTTAGTGGCATAAGTGACTCAGGAACGCCGAGGCCATTTATTCATTAACCGCACAGTTCAAGAGCCCCACGTATTATTTCATCTCATTCAAGGTCCGTTGTGTCATTTCAAGGACAGCACCTCCATTATTTCCAAAACATCCATTTGTTAATGCAATGGCCGCACGTCACATTGCGTCATTGTGCCCGCCCGTGAAGAGCAAGATGTCATTCGGTGGAAACCGTCCTCACTGAGTGAAGTGTCGAGAGACGAGCATTCCCGCTAATGCTTTTATTGCCTGTCGGAATTGTTTTAATTGCGCGCAATTGCAGCACTAATGGGTCTGGTTCGAACAAAACGTGCAATGAAGACGTCATTTTCTCAGCGCAAACAAAAAAAAAACGATTTGACCATTTTTTTTTTCTCGATGATAGAATATTTCCCTCTTGCATTTCTTTTAAAATGACCCCCCCTTTTTTTTTGGTGAGCCCTTTGTACATTTTGCACAGGGCGGCAATGCCTTTTCTTGTTTATTGAGTTGCTCTTCAAAATAAGTCCAACATACACGATACTGCCTGAGCAGCAGCCACATGTGAATTACACCAGCACCTCTCATGTTTTTCGATATGACGGCTTTAGTGTACATCAGATAACAGCCAGAGGATGTGAACCACAAGTCACTTCTCATCGTTGTCCTCTAACGGTCTGCCCGACCTTCATGTGTGGTCGCATATGCGACACGTGCCCCGCCGGTTTCCTTACACGGGCGATTCCCCCTAAGCCTCCATTTTTTTTTTTTATCATGCGTCCCTCTCCGACACATGATCCCCATCTCTGGCGATCTTAAGAGCGTTTGCTTTCCTCATAACTCATTTGGTTTCCTCCTCGCGTGGCCATTGCATGTAAACAGACACCCAGGACACCAGGAAAGTGATGGCTGATTAGAGTTCGTTCTCTCCTCCTCCCTTATGCTGAGTAAGAATAGTTGATCCCCAATCGACGGCGGATCTTCTTGCGGCTGTTTAGGGATGCGTATTTCGAAAACGAATTAAGACGCTGTCTCGTTTGCTGTGGTTTACAGGACTGCGGCGTTTAGGAAATGAGGTGGTTGGGGTGGATTTTGAGGGATTCTCTTGCAACGGTATTCACGGAGTTCTCACACCAACTTTGGCACCTCTGGGGAGACTAATGCGTTCAAGCTCATTTGGAAAAGGACCGTTATTATAACTTCAAAGAATATCCCATTGAAAGTGGGGTACGTGTCTATTTTTAGATATTGGGACTGGGACCGAGTGCTTAAATATGACCAACTTGACAGTAAGGTCATTGCGGCTTGATCTTGAGTGAGTACAGCGAGTACAGCGTCAAAACTGTGAGCCGCAAGGCCAAGGGAAGAGTCAGGCTCTGGTGTTCTCATTAATATGGAATGGCGGCTTGGAACACCAATCGCCGTGTGTTTGCAGCAGCCGCAGGGTTCACAGTTACAGAAACCCCCCAGGCGGGCTTTGTATGCAATTAGCCGCCCGAGTCTGATTGGGTTACAAGCCACAGGTCAGTCCTGCCTTGCCGCCTTAAACACAAGAACACTAGCCGGTAAGGCGATGCTGAAGATTAAAGATGAAGCACAAGAGCACAAATGCAATGATGTCATGCCAAACAACTAAAAAGAGGTTAAGCCATCAAAGGAAAGGATCATTTCGGCGACAGCAAACGCAAATATTTTGGGCATCTTCTCATCACACAGCTCTCTAATCCTGAGCAGCACAATTTGTTATTTGGGAGCATTTGTATTTGAAGAGGCATCAAGGAGCTGCATCACATTTTTTTTTATTTTAAGACGACCCCCGATGCTGTAATTCATCCAAATGCTCCGAGCTCAGTCAGCTCTGAGGCGGAACAATGTTGGCTATTTATAAAGGTGTCCTCTCCACTCGGTTTTGTGAGGCCAGACGCAACATGTTTACAAGGCCGTGCTGGAGTTCAAGCGTATCTGAGGCCATTGTCAACCTGTGCTGTGCATTCTGATTGTATAATGACCCCATTTCATGTAACTCGTTTTTTTTTTTCAGGGATGGCTTTGCAGCTCTGACACTTGGTAGGATTGCTGTGCCGTGAATAACATGTCATACGTATATTGGCATACATATTTTTTCCATTTTAAAATGAAAACAGAGAAATGAATAGTTCTCATTAAAACTGTAACATGCAACTCGGGAGAGAATAAAAGGTGAAATGTTACTAGCTAAGAACACAAAATGCTGTATGTAATGTCCAATTTATGACCAAAATAAAACTGTCCAAGAAAGGCTCGAAATTATACATAATTTTCACTCCAACATCATTGATCATTCCAAAAATGTGCTCTCAGTACTTAGGCAATTTTATTAATATTTGACATTTTGTTCTCTGTAGTAATAGATTAAAAGTATTTTTACTCAAATATATGTGCATGGTCCATTTTTTTTCTTGTGTTGTATGTTAAGTGCAAAGTTCAAGCAATCATTGCAGGTTTCTTTTTATGACTTCATTAAGCTGAGTGACCATATTATTACTATTTTGATGACTATTCCTTTTCACAGTATGCATTCGATCCGTATTCTTTTTAGAAAGATGACAACTTCACCGGATTTATGTTCCCGTGGCTTGTAGTGGTCACGTGACGTGCTGCAAGTGGACACCTGTAGCGCGTAATATTCATTTCAAGAGTTTGCAGCGCTGTTTCAAAGCGCACGTGCGTAGAACCACTTTTCGTACTACCTTGCGCCAGACCCC